TGTGAGCCTCCTGTTTTCTATGGGCATAGTGAGCAGCCTTTTCCTGAGTACTCAGTCACTACCTGTTCATGCTTATGAAGGATAAAACAAACTGTAACAGCAGCAGCAACACAAACCAGGCATGGAGTACGGTAGAATCAGTTAACAGTACTAAAGACAGCAGCAGCAGTTATAGGAAAGCAAATTAGAGTGTAAACCTTATGTGATGAAGGAAACAACGGGAGAAAGAGAAGGGGGTAAGAAAAAAATGGTGAATTTTAAGGAGGAAAAATACTGAAATCTAGTTAGAAAATGATACATAAATAAATGTAGATAAAGTAGAGGAATTCTTAAAAAAAAATCTTTAAAAGTACTGAAAGGTAATAGAGTACAGAGCCAGGATCTGGTTGTGGTGCCCACACCTGTCATTTCTGCACGGGACCTAGGAACTTTGGGAGTCTGGATTGCAAAACCACAGCAAGGGTTTTCTCCGCCCCCCCCCCCCCCCCCCCCCTCTATCTCTGGGCCCTCCCCCCCCCCCCCCCCCCCAAGCTGCTCTGTCTTGGTTCTCCGATGTTGGAGTCTGCCCTGTTGGGGCTGCTTGGGATTGGAGTCTCTTGGGGTTACTGTCGGTTCCTTGCTGCACCAACCAATCTGTGTGCAGGCTGAAGTCCAGCCAGCCGGTGGGCCAAGATATGCTTGCTGCCACTGTCGTGGTTTCATTAACTTGTTCTCTGTGTGGGGTTGTAGCTGTGCACTGCTGTCTGCTCCTCTTGTGGTTGTCAGTGTGTACAGACGAGGACTGAGCCACATCTGTGAGCCCTTTACTCACATCTGCCCGTTATTCACTGGTGCCTGTATCTTTTGTCCCCCTCCCCCTAACACACATATTCAACTTTTTTTGTTTTCTCTGAAGTCAGTGGCCATGAGTGTCTAGAGAGCCTGTATGCTTGAAGCTCTAAATAGAATCCTACAACCTGGGGAAAGATGAGGGTTTTTTTGTCTTCCTTTTTGTGTTTGTGTTATGTTTTGCTGTGCTAGAGATTGAACCCAAGGCTTTGGGGTGCTAGGCAAGTACTGTCTCTCCAGTGCTTGTCCATTCATTATCTGTATGCATTCGCTCCCCAGATGAGAGCACTTTTTTACATGTCTTTAAATACTTAGTATCGTGCCCACCATTTTAATATTGGTGCAGTAAAATAATCTACATTCTGTTAGTCTGTATTAAAAAATTTTAATTTATCCCTTCAGTTCCCCTTAACAGCTGTTTTTCTCCCCTGTGAGGGCTAATCCAACATTGTGTGTTAGTTGGATTTGTTTGTTGCGCCTTTGTATCCTCCACAGGCATAGAGCAGGGAGGGTGTGACACACGTCCTCATAGCGAGCTATAGCAAATGCCTGTGCTTTGTGCACAGTGTGATTTCTGTTGCAGTCACTCTGCTATTCGTAGGTAAACACGTGTGTGTGGCTGTGTAGAGCTTCATTTATAAATTCAGGCAAGCCGTGGTTGTATAGATTCCTGATACAGACTAGATTTCTGTCTGTCTGTTATCGTTAGGTCTCAAATCCTGACCTGACAACCAGTTTCTCCCAGCATCCCTTAGTCCCTACCTGTTAATCAAGTATGGCTGGCATACCCTGCCCCCTACCCTAAATTTTTCCAGCCCGGTGACTTGGCTGCTCGTAACCCATTGTCCTTCTCTATATAGTCAGCTGTTTTCGTTACTTGCCCTGTTATCCACTCTTTACTCTGCTGGCTTTACCCTCTCTTCCGTCCCTACTCCTCTCATGGCCTGGCTCAGGGCTCTTCCAGACGTCCCTGCCGCTGGCTGTCTCTCCTTTTTATCTACAGTTGACTTCATCCTCTACCACACCTAGGAGCAGTCTTGTTCTTCCTTCTTATTTCTTTTTCCCCCTTCATCTGATGCTGAAACCTGGGATCAAACCTCAGATCTTCTCGCCGACTATTATTTTGAAGAATTAGACCAAGTTTTTTGGCAGAATGTCTGAAAGCTAGATTTAAAAAAAGTTTCCACATTATGTTTTAAGGCTAAACTTTCCATGTGAGCTCCTAAGGATTCTTTCAGCCTGGACCCTAGAGAAAGATGCTGCCGTGATCAAGCACAATTTTTCCTCCTCCTCTCCTGTCTCTCCCTCTCAGTGATGGCTGTCCTTGCAGCATCCCTGCCTAGAAAAAGACAGTAAAGTACGCTGCCGAGTTACTGCTTCCTTCAGTGCCTTCCCTAGACGTCAGGGTGACCTGCAGACTGTTTGTTCAAATGTTCATGTTTATGAAAGTCAGTAAAGGAATGGTGAAAATAACTCAGGTGCTCTAGTCAGATCCTATCCGTTAGCCTGAAAGCTGAACGTCTGCGTGCCAGTGTCATAAAGTAAACTGGAGAACTCTAGGTTGGTGTCACCCGGGGATCAGCTTTAGAACTAGGTAGAGTTCTTACAGAATCGGTGCTCAGCTGTCCTGCTGCAAAGTTGTGACTTTTTCATAGGAAGCACGTACAGGAAGCACGTGTCGTTTTCACAAGTCACTCTGTTTCCTGGGAGGTTAAGGAATAGCCAGAGTGAAGTGTTTTATTGGTTCTGTGGCCTTTCAGGGTGGTTTTTCCCCTCTGTATTGTATTTGGATTCTCTTTAAATATTAGGATTAATACCTGTGGTGAATAGATACCATTCTGCCATCTTCCATTTGAGGCAAGAGTTTTCTTTGTAGTTTGCCTTAAGTAACAAATGATACCTGTTTCAAGTTTATGAAACTTAAAATATAGCCATGTCCGGCTTATAGTATATAAAATGAATGTTAGGCCTTCTTATGTTTTTGTTGTTTGTATTTTCATATGGGGTCTTAGTCTGTAGGTTAAGCCGCCCTCAAGTTTCCCATCGTTCTGCCTCATCCCTGTCAAGGTATAATCTTATCACATTTGGCCATTATTACATAATTGTTCATCTCTCTTTTCTGTTCAGGCTTATCATCTGCTAAGCAGAGCCTAATGCATCCACAGGTGTGATCTGACCAGGACCATACACTGTCGCTTTCTCTGTTACTTTGGATCAAAGACAGTTTCTTTTCTCTGTCTCTCCCCTCCCCCCTTCCTTCCTCCCTTTTCTTTTTTGAAACGGGATCTCACTAGGGTAGCTGCAGCTGGCCTGTAGCTCACTAACTCGATCATGTTGGCTTCAAACTCAAGAGGCCCGCCTACCTTTATCTCTCAATTGCTGGGATTAAAGGTGTACTCCATCATACTCAACCCTCTTTCTTTTAAAAAAAAAATCCATTTTGGACAATTTCAAACACAGAAAGTAGGCTGAGCAGTGTGATAGGTCTCAGCTGCATGCCTTGGTCCCTTTCCAGGATGCTGGTCAGTGCTGTTCACTCCTGCACACCCATGACACACTCTCTCTCCCATCATTGGTACACTTGAGCTCCACGTCTAATTCACTTTGATAGTTGCTAGAGCTTTTAAGAGAGTGCTTTGTTTTCTTAGCAAGCAGTGGTTGCATTAATGAACAACCGAGTCTTACCTTAGATTCATCCGTGAACTGACTTGTTGGTTTTGCTTTTGAATGTGGAGAAAGCTGGGTTGGGACTGAAAACGGATTGTGTCAGACTGGGTGTTGTTCCAGTCTATCCAGGGATGCACCCTGTAATCCCTCCCTGAGTGGCAAGATCTCCGACTAATCTGAGAAATGATTGACATTGGGCCAGAACACTTGATGTCACATCCCTGTTCTTCTCCAGGTTTTTATTATTCTGGCTTTAAGTATTTATTCTGTGCCTTCTAGTCATTTTGTCTGCATTAAGGAAGCAAAATGAGAGTTCAAAAGTTATGCTTTCATGCCCCCCCCCAGCATCTCCTGTACCCCAAGATAGCCTCAAGCTATGACACAGCCCATACAGTTCTGTTAGTGCTCAGCTTGTCGTCAGGTTAAAGAGAAGCGGGACGACGAGTCTCGTGGCTGCACAGCTGCACTGTAGATGTTTCTGGTGCTTTGTGGCTTCGAACTTACAAGACTTGCTCTGCTTCCGACTGGGCAAAACATCAGACTGTGCTTATTCAAGAAATACTTAGTGAGCATCTGTATGCTGGGAAGTGCATTATACCTTGCCTGAATAAGAAAGGTAAACTAACCGGATATATTTTCCATTAAGGAGTCACAGTCTGTTGAGAAACGAAATATATTTGGAAAAGGAAAACTGCTCAGTTGATATTTTAAGGACACAGCCTTTTACTTTAAAGTGAGTTTCAAGTGACTTTGTAATTATTTCCGTGAAAAGCTTCTGCATATTCAAGGCTTTGGGATTACTCATTTCTATGTGTACTTATATAAAACTAAGCATTCCAGACTCAGGACAGTGTTAGCAAGAAGACTCTAAATGAGAATGAACTGGTTAATGTTTCTCTACTGTACTGAGGTTCCAGGATGATAAATACATTGATGATGTGGATGAAATTGATGTTTGCTATTTTAAGAGAACCTTTGCAGATAGGGAAATAAAAATGCCTTCAGCAGTTGCCTTTGTCTTGAGTGCTGGAGAAGGAAGGGTGAGGAGATGCTCGAGCAGATGAGAACCTGTGACCTACTACCATATCAGCCTGTGGGCACTGGCCTTAGACGTTATGTCCTGCACAGTGTAGCCAGAGGGCTGCCTTTGCTGCCTTGTCTCCTTGTGTGAAATTATGTGATTTTAGTTCTTTTATTAAGAAGTTTCTTAAAACTTTGGTTGCTGGAATGTCAGAATGCTTTCTTATTTTCTGAACTCTTTCAAGGTTCAAGAGTTAGGAGGTTTGAGATGGGAAGAAGGCTTTGCTTCTCTAACTGATGTTTTCTGACTAGGTACTTCGTAACTCAGGAAGACTTCATTTATCCCCAGTAATATGTTTTACTAAACTCTTTCAGGTAACTTGAAAAAGACTGTGTGACTTCATGTACAGTAGATGATAACTGAACTCAGTTTTTAGTTATTGTTGTCAGTAGAAAACTTTAGTGAGCTTTCTCTTTGTCTCCAGTTACCAGAGACTGCTGCAGACCATTGCTGTCCTTGAGGCTCAGCGTTCTCAAGCAGTCCAAGACCTGGAAAGTTTAGGCAAACACCAGAGAGAAGCACTAAAAAATCCTATTGGATTTGTGGAAAAACTCCAGAAGAAGGTACCAAAAGAAAAAAAAAAAAGTACTTTGGTACTTTTAAACATTGATTGGAGTATACTTGGTAATTTAAGATAATGATGTTTTTTTCTGTGAGTCTGTCTGTGCTTTAAGAATATATAATTCCACCCCGCCCCCACTTCCAGGTCAGTCATTGCACAGTGAGGTTTGCCCAGGAGAAGAGAACTAGGCTCTCATTGTTTGGACAGAGCGACGTGCTCACTCCTCCTCTGTCCTCCGTACATCACTTCCTCCTCCTGCTTCCGGGGCTCTAGGACGGGGAACTGAGCCTGGTGCAGAGCATTTATTAATTATTGACTGCTTTTGTTTGGGTTGCGTTTGCTACTGAGAGAAAAAGCAAATGTTTATAGAGGTAACACAAAAATTTATTTTACATGTTTAAGGCATAGACATAACCAAATCCATGAAGAGAAACTATGAATTTCATTTAATTTTGAAAAAGCCTTTTTTCCCTTTTAGTGTGAAACTTAACTAGTTTTCTCTTTTACTTAAAACAAACTTTACAGTGAGCCGTTCAGATGTACACTTAAGTGACTCAAACTAGGGAGCCCCTTAATTGATATGTCTGTCTATGCACAAGTACATTGTGTGTGGGTGTTGCTCTTTGGTCTGGGACTGGAACCAAGTGCTCTGCTACCACTGAAGCTTGCTTAATAGATTTGAAAGCCTCATATTAGCATTGTGTGAAAACATGAAAATAAAATCAATATGTGATGGACTCAGGGTAACTGAGATGTCATCAGTATACACTGCGTTTCATGATACACATATAATCTATGTGCTGACTGATTAGAGTTGGTCTCAGAGCTGTATTCTACCTTCTGTTAGATAAGGCTCCCTTGTCCAGTATAGTGCAAATTTAGAATCCCAAAACTTGGCTGAAGAATGAGGCTCCTGAGTACAAGGTCATCCTCAAACTTACCCATCAGATTTGAGGTCACCGTGTGCTACAAGAGACACGGTTCAAAGAGATTTAAAACAAAACAAAACAAAAACAAAAACCTAAACAACAGCCTGAGACCTTATAATAAATAAATGGAAAATATCTCCATCTTTTATCATTATTACATGGTTTGCTCTAGCACAAAGACATCATTCTCAAAATGGCAGTTTTTGGCAGATTAAATTACAACTGTTAGAGAAATAATGTATCAACTTTGATGTAACTTTGAATGCATTCACTTTATGTCAGGTAAGCAAAAACATGCATTTAGGCGTACTTACTGGATTTATATGCAGTTGGCTGTTTTTCATTTCCAGGTTTTTTTTATTTTTTTTTTGAATTCAGAAACGGATGTGTTATTGACCATCTTAACTTTTAAAAAAATAGTAAATACAGACACTCAATAAACAGGCAAGGCTTATGTTGCTTAGGAAGACTTCTTTGTCCTAGATTTAATTTAGAAGTTTCTTTTTTTTTTTTTAGATGTCATAATTTAGAGCAAGGGATATAGCTATGGTGTGGGATGCCTGTGTTTGTGCAAGGCTCAACACTGCCAGAAAGAAAAATGCCATACGTTTTATATGTGGCAGACTTACAGATTGTGAATTCATTTTTTATTTGTTACAGACAAAGTACAACCTTGCAACTGAACGTCAGAGTGTGTATATCTCAGAATGTGCTGGTGCCTGGAGCACCCTCAGTGTGCTTGTGACTAGAGCGGATAGGTCTGATGCAGCACAAAGAATAGTGTTTACAGTGTGCCTCTTACATTTTATTGTACCTATTATCTTCTTGAGCTAATGTAGATTGGCACTCTGATATCTTTATTTTGTCTTTTTTCCCAGGCTGATATAGGGCTTCCATACCCACAGAGAGTTGTTCAGTTGCCTGAGATTGTATGGGACCAATATACCAACAGCCTTGGGAACTTTGAAAGAGAATTTAAAAATCGCAAAAGACATACTAGGAGAGTTAAATTAGTTTTTGATAAAGGTAAGAACTCACATGATAAGAATTTAATGAGGAAAATGTCTTGTAATCTTGCTTGAATAATTCTGTGTATGATTTTACTTTTAGTAGGCTTGCCCACTAGACCAAAAAGTCCTTTAGATGCTAAGAAGGATGGAGAGTCCCTTTCTTACTCTGTGTTGCCTTTGAGTGATGGTCCAGAAGGCTCCCATAATCGTCCTCAGGTAAGTAATAGGAAATTTCTGAGAAGCATAACAATGTTTAACGTTTTGTTGCTCTGTATTCTTAAAATGAAGAGTCATTTACTAATAATGGGCACATAAACTCTGAGGGTAACCAGAAACTGTCTGTCCAGCCTGCCAGCTGAGACCCTTTAGCTGTTGTGTATGTTCCAGTCTTCAAGTTGTAGTCCCTTAAAAATGAGATTGGTATCAGTTACATTGTAGGGTCTTTATGGATTTTAAATGGCCTTTGTGGGTACTGTGCCTAGGACCGGTGGCACGTGGAGTGTGGCCAGGATTTCAGATGTGGCCTTGTCTCTGTAGGACTTGTTACTTTTCAATTTTGAGCCCACATGTCTTGTTTCTAGAGATAAATTGCTGTCATTTATTTATGAGGATTGTTAAGAGTTTAAAACCAAATGAAATACAAGAATATGAAAAAATTATCAGGGAATAGGTGATGTATATAAAATATGCAGAGATAGTTTGGAAATTCTAAAACATTCCCCGTGTGCTCTTTGGCTATACCCTTGGTGTTTTCCATGTATTAAAAGCCTTCCTTTACATGCAGATGATAAGAGGTCGCCTGTGTGATGACACCAAACCTGAAACATTCAACCAGCTGTGGACTGTTGAAGAGCAGGTGATACACACATGTAGCTTATTTGGGTTAAAAGACAGTCTAAACTGTTAATAGTAGAAGGAGTACCAGGCAAGTGTTTACTCTTGCACTGTAGTCCTTTTAATCATGAGTTTAAAATATTTAGACTTGCTTGTATGCCTTTTTGCATATTTTAAGAAATTTGGATTTTGAAGGTGTATGAATTTTTGAGGATAATTCTTGAAGAAAAGCCCTGGGTTTGGGAAGGAGGCTAGAAGTGATGGATATTCTGAGAAGCAGCTTTGAGAGGAAAGCCTCAAGACAAGCAAAGCTCCTTCAAGTTGGGTTTTAATTTCTGTTGTCAGGGAGCTGGGAACCCAGACTGGCGTGCCTGTGACACTTGTGTCAGATTGCAATTGAGTGTGAGCTTGAGTATGTGGAGTTAGGTTGTATATCTGTAGGGCTTGTGTGACGTTAGAAGCTGACTTTTTGTCCCCAATCAGATACTTGAATGACAGATCGCATAAAAGAGGAATACTTTCTATTCTAAATCCAGTGAACGGATGTGGTTTTGTTAGCGCTACAGGGGATCTTCTGCACATTCTGGAGCAGAGATGGTTGGGGAGTGGCATTCACTCAGATGGTTTCCTGTGCTTTATGAGGACCTACATAAGGGTTTTCATTCATTTTGCCTGTGGTGTCTTAGGTTTTTAAGTTTTCCTGTTTTCTACTTTGAGACACTCTAATTGGCTTCCAGAGTGGGGAAGCAGCACTGTGCTTTCAGTAAAATGTGAATGGATTTATTTAGAAACCCAGTTTTTTTATTATTGATTTTTATTGAGCTCTACATTTGGAATTGAATGTTTTAAATGGAAGACACTTTCACTTAAAACTTATTCTTGGTTTGGTGCAGAAAAAACTTGAACAACTACTTCTGAAATACCCTCCTGAAGAAGTAGAGTCTCGGCGGTGGCAGAAGATTGCAGATGAACTGGGCAATCGGACAGCCAAGCAGGTGATGGGGGGGCTGCGTGCAGGCCGTGCGTGCAGATGCCTTCTAGTGGGCAGTTCTGCTGCCACACTCACAGAACTGCTACAGTAGCTCTTGTGTGTGCTGGCTTTACATTGATTAGCATTGCTTGTCTTTTATGTTGATTGAAGAAACAGTCTAACCCTGCTGTGTATCAATGAAAAAAAAATGTATAGTAAAGCTGGGTGGTGAAGGCGCACACCTTTAATCCCAGCACTTGGTAGGCAGGGCAGGTGGGTGTCTGTGAGTTCAAGGCCAGCCTGGTCTACAGAGTGAGTTCTAGGACAGGCTCCAAACCTACAGAGAGAAGCCCTGTCTTTTGGTGGGTGTTGGAGTAAATAAATAAATAAATAAATAAATAAGAAAATATATATTTTTTATTTTTTTTAACCTGTTCTCACTTTATGGTGAGAGTATTGACAGGCGGTTGTTACCTATGAGCTACGCGTTCTCTCCAGACTTTTTCATACAAAGGCATACAGGCCATAATAACATGTAAATTGTCTTGTCGCAAACAAATAAGCTAGAACCTTTGTTTTTGAGACAGAATCTCACTATGTAGCCCTGGCTGACCTAGAGCTCATACATAGTGGACATTGTATCTCTTGAGTTCTTGAGTGTCTAGGGAGTGTCCTGGCAGTAACAGTTTGCTTAGATTGTGCTAGTGGGTTTTGTGGCATTGTATTTATGTCATTGGATTGTCTTCCTGAGCACAGACATAGAAGCCCCCTCATGTCCTCCTGTGTCACACACAGCCCCCCTCACGCCCCCCTGTGTCACACACATCCCTCCTCACGTCCTCCTGTGTCACACACAGCCCCCTCACGTCCTCCTGTGTCACACACAGCCCCCTCACGTCCTCCTGTGTCACACAC